ATATATATATATAATTCATTGAACTTGAACATGTTCATGAACTTGAACTGAACTTGAACTAAATCAAAACTTTAAGTCAGGTTTAGTTTAAGTTCATAAATTTAAAGTTCAGTTTAGGTTCAGGTTCAAAGATCTGCAAAATTTAAAATTTAGTTCAGATTTAATTGAACTTGAATCTGAACCTAAATTGAACTGAACTGAACTTCGGAACACTATCTGCCAGTATGCTTAAGTTTTGAAAGATTGTTTCTTCTTAGTAATTTAGATATGCTACACATGTAGTATTGTCGTTTCTGATCATAACTGCTTGATCTTTTAAGTCCTTGAATGCTAGAAGAGCGTAATGTATTGCTATAAGTTCTAGAATATTGATATGTAAATGTTTTTGTAGGTTGTTCTAGTAACCAGAGAGCAGCCATATTCCCTGTGCTACTTCTTAGCCTTCCTTTGATGTGTTGGTATAAATCACTATTGTTAGAATATTTGGAATGATATTGACTTTATTCTATTTCACTAGATTTATTATTCACTACTATATCTGTTATATGCTTTCTTGGGAAAGAGCCAGATACATGTCTCATCCATTGGTCTTTAATGCATGATTTTTGTCTCTTAATAATACTTTTGTTATGAGTTAGACTAGAAAAATTGCATCAATAGTGGCTAAGAGCCTGCTAATGATTGCTACCAATTTTCTTATATGGATAGTTGACAATCTAAGCACTATTTTGCAATCTTTCAGGATATCTTTTATCTTGTGTTTGGGTAGTGCTAGTGTCATAGTCTTGGAGTTTATTATAAATCCTAGATATTCTGCTTGTTGTACTAATATCAGTTTCAATTTTTTTAAATTTATCACAAAGCCTAAGGTCTTCAGTATCTGTATGACTTTATTTATATATCATTTCACCTCTTTCTTTGATTTTGTGCATATAAGCAGATCGTTCAGATAGGCTATGAGTCTTATCCCTTTCATTTTGACTCAGAACACTACTTGTTTGAGAATTTTTGTAAAGATTCTAAGATTGCTAGTTAATTTAAAAGTTAAACATGTGTACTAGTATCTCTGATTTATGAAATCAAAGATAAAGAAAAGTTGTAGCTATGAGGATAATGGAATATGCAAAAAGATATCAAAGATATTGATAGTAGTAAAATAGTCTGCTCTTCTTATTATGAACTTTGTATATTCTATTGTTTCTATTTTAAAATATATGTAACATATATATTTGTTGAGTGACTTTAGATCTATTACTATATGATTTTTTTCTGATTTCTTTAAAATTGAAAAAAATTGGAAAATGTATTTTTTTTGATCTCTCTTATAGCATCTTTGTTTAGTAGATCTTTTATTTTTTTTATCACTAAATCTTGATTTTTTCTAATCATCGTAGTGTTTATGTTCTGAATTTTTAGTAGAGGCTAGTAAGTAGGGTTCCTCAAAGTCAAATCAAATCGAATCAAATATTAATTAAATCAAATAAATCCTTAATTTGAATTTAATTTGATCGAATCAAATCAAATCAAATCAAATAATATTTGAATATTATTAAAAATTTTAAAAATTTTATCACTTTTCAAAAATCTCAATTTACACAAAATTTTACTAAGCTAATCGATTTTGCATATTAAATAAAAAATGTTCTTCTAATCAAAATACTCCTAGTTAGTTAGAATGAAAATAGCAGTTATCATAATAAAATTTTGTATAAATAGTTATTAAATCTATAGTTTCACTTCAAATCAATTCAAATATTTGTCAAATCAAATCGAATATTTTGTTAATTTGAATTTGATCGAATCGAATAAATCTATGATTTGAATTTGATTTGATTTGAATATTTGATTAAATCAAATCAAATCAAATCGAATTGTGAAACCCTACTGGTAAGTTCATTCTAATATATATTCTTTTATTAAAATGTCTGTGATCTATAATAGGCTGAATAAAGCTAGCTATTCACCTACGAAGTGTGCTAGTCTTCCCCCTATTCTCGATATTATTGTTGATTTTCCTGTGTGAGGTGACTCTAGAAGGTTGTAAAGCCGCCTCTTTGCCTATTTCTCTAGTTATTCAGGTTGTGATTATAGAACCAATAATTGTTATACTTATTACAACTATACCAGTTAAATTTCTAATTATTGCAAGAAGAAGTTGGCCTATAATTATAACTAGTACTGCTTCTTCTACTTGAGGCATGACTCTTGTTTCTAAAAGCCTCTGAAATAAATTTATGAGTGGCATTCTCTCTTTCAATAAGAGAGCTGAGGTCCTGGCTGAATATCTTTTTATTCTCAACAACTGGATTATATAACAGGAACAAAACCTTGATCACTTGGTTTTTTCTATTCTGATTAATGAATAATAGAGAGTTAAATAAAGTGTTCTAGCATTTGTAAGTGATCTTTTAATAAGTGACCAAGCTTGAAATACATCTTGATCAGTATATAGAGGCTTAGATGTATAAACTGATTTAAGCACATTGTCTAAGAGCCATAAAGCTGCTGATATTTTATATAAAACTTTAGCAAGCATTTTGTCTAGTTTCTTTGTATAACTAGATAATAGTTTCCAGATATATTTATCTATAATATACATGCTACTGAAAAAGGTTTTCAAAAAAACTCTATTTCATCTCCATTAGAGCAATTTGAAATTTTTTATATGCAAGAACAAATCTAATTTAGATAGTTATGTTCTTTATAATTTTGTCTCTTCAAAAAAAATATCAAAAATTTTCATCTTTTAAGTAAAATAGGTCAAAAACAATTTCATCTTTAAATTTTAATTTCGTACTCTGAAATCTAAAATAATTTCATTGGCATGTATAATCTATAACTAGAGGGTTATAGCTAATATTTGCATTTCTTGGTTCATTCTTAAAAATGTTTAAATGTTGTGATTTAGTAAGTATGTTCTCTTTGTGAATTTTTGTAGGCAAACATGCTATTTCTCTAGTTGGAAACCATGTAGGTAGAGCTTCACATTTGTCTGAACTGAAATCAGAGTCCTGTTTACTATATTCTGAAGCTTGAGAAAATATTTTATCGACATATAATGTATCAGTATACTGAATTGCACTTTTATCTTGGGTGGCTTGTGTATTAAGATTAGTTTGGATATATTAATCATTAACATAGTTCTGAGCATATTAGTTTGGTATGTTTTTATTGCTTTCGTGATTTAATAAAATGAGTATATCAGTTATAGCAAGATTGATTACTAAAGCATGGATAGCAGCCAAAATAAAATGGCTTAAAGAGAAAATTGTTTAGTCTAGTTAGATAAATACATATAAAAATTTTTTTAATTATTAGTATTGTATAACCTTATGATATAATAGCAATAGTTTACAAAGTTTGGAGCAGCCAATAATAAAATAGGCTCAATATATATGATATTGTATATTGTAGTATGCGAAGTTCATTTAGAAATTATAGCTGATCAGTATAGTATGGTTTTTAATTTTAATCTGTAATATACTAATCTGCTTATCTATACTATACTTAATATCATTTTAGTACGGGACATATCGACCGTTGTTATAGCCAAGGGAGAGACTTTGAATCAACGTGGCCAATTCAGTTCAGGGCTATAAGCATTAAAAGGGTGGAACTAAGTAGTTATTTATTTATATAAAATACTGAAAGTAAGCAATTAACTTCTTTATTTTATTTTAATGTTCAAAAAATACTCCCAGAGTATTACCCTCTAATCAACTAATTCAACTAAACAAAGAACTACCTAATCGCCTCACTAACTATTAAAGTAACTTCCAAGACCTTCTATCTTTTTTTCTTTTCTCTTTTATATCTCATTCTCTTTGACCATTGTTCAAACAATTACTAATACTAATAACTATTTAATGACTATATATTTTATGCATATACACTAATTACTATATGGTTACCTCTCTCTGTATAACAGATTGTTTACTAATTGCATATTTCCTGCATCTGTACTAATTACTACATATTACTATCTACCAGCATATTAAAGGTGTAATTGTTACACAATAGAGACCCAGTCCTGTAACACTGTGCATGAATATTACACTAATATGCAATGTTTGATTCTGTGAAACAATCCAATTTTTTTAATAATATAGATATTAGTATTAGTGCCTGTCATTTAAATTATACATAGCAACTGCATAAAAATTTCACAGTCTCATGATGATATATGCTAAAATTTTATTGGCCAAAACAAACTGCAGATCGTCAACACGTTTTTTGATTAAAAAAATTAGCTTTTGACATTAGGATAAGGGTGAGCATTAGGATGATAGTAGAAAAGGCAGAGTATATAGCAAAATTTTGCAAGAAATTTTTTTTTGCTAAGATGCAGAAAGTAGTTTTGTAGTCAAAATTTTGAGTTATGGACAATTTTTTAAAAAAGCCAGCAGTTTGTTTTGTTTTTACATTATACTTGATTCTGTGTCGTGATTGGTTTAAAATCATGTGTCTGCAGACATTTTATGCGGTTGCTATGTATAATATCATTTAATGACAGGCTATATAGTAAGAAATAAATATTATATACAAATATGTTATCAGTTGCATAAATATGCAAGGGCCATTATCTTATATATAAATGCCAACAAAGGAATATAAGGCTTAAATTTATTTTTGGCAGATCCAGCCTTTTAAAAATCTGATAATAACATATATTACAAATCTGGACTGGATCCGGTAAATAATCGATAGTAAACTTGAAAATCAAAAATCATCTTTCCTTGACGGCAAAAATGTATTAAACTCCTCGACCTTATGGTATGCATAAATGTTATATGAATATACAATATCTAATTCTGTACAACAATCTAATTTTTTTAATAATATAGACTAGTGTTAGAGCCTGTCATCATATGACAGGCTATAGGGTATAAAATAAATACTACAAACTTGTGTGAATATTGCAAAGACCCCTTATAAGAAATTTTTACACATGAGTACACATGTCAGCACAAAATATAGCACGCACAAAGCATTGAATTCAGGTAAGTTGTACAGAATCTGCATGCAAGCAAAGTCGATAAACACGTAATTGCATAAAATTTTTTTATATACATGATATGTACATAAAATAATGAACAGCTCATATATAACTATGCTAGAAATTGCATGGAAAAGCATATAAACAAACATGCTATTACATGTACTGTTGCGCTTTTTTACATGTCTAGGGCATGTTTACCCACGCACTGTCTCTGTGTTGTATTCCATATAGTTCTGTATGCTCTCATGATGTTAGTACCCATGTTTGACCATAAATCTCTTGTACCCCATTTTATAGGGACCATTATATAAAAATACCATCAGGATCAATAAAGAATATCTAATGTTCTCAGTATTCTCAAAAGCATTTAAATATTTTTGAGAACACAATATTTAAAAATTATGTTCTTATTTGAGAACATAAAATTTGTAAATTATATTATAAAAATAATCTTTTAAGAACCCTTAAGAACATTGAAAATTTTTTTAAGAACCTAAAAATTAAATTTTATGTTCTTAGAGAACAAAAAAAAATTTTCAAAAATTCTTTACTGATCGGGACTATGCATGAAATTGTCAGATCTGCATTACTATAAATTCTGAGGCACTTGAAAAATGACTGAAATGATAAGTTTTTGATATCAATAATTTATTGATTCTATATGATAACTTGTCGATTCGGTTACTAGAAAATATGAAAGCAGCTGAAACACCATTTATATAGAGTTTTTGTTAATGGAAATCAACTTAAGTTTTGCAAAATTGGATAAATTTCGGCACAGGATATATTTTTCGTACGTACCTGTTACCAGATTTTACTTATTTGTACAGGTAACACAAACCAAAAAAGGAAATCAAATTTTGTAAATAAACTAAGTACGTAAAGATAGAAGTTTAGGGTTAAAGCGTTAATATTAAAAGCTATAACAGTAAACTGCTGCTCATTATATGTAAAATTTCATTTTCAAAATTTTTAATTAGTACACTAAGGTCGATTTAAATACTAGTTTTTGAGTATTTTCGCTTTTTTCTTTTTTTGCACATGTTCGGAATTCATGTCAGGCTGAT